GACTTAGCATCCATTTTTTGCGCGCGTCAAAGTTCGGACTTGAAATTTTTGCCTGTAGAGCCGGCTCTAAAAGCTACAGTCGACTCTCTACATTTTTGCTTCCTATAGCTGGCTGCAAATTCCTTAAGTTGGCTCTTTGCACATTATTTTCTTCCAGAGTAGGCTGCAAATTTCCTTAAGCCGGCTCTTAGCACATTTTCAGCCTTTCTGGTCCTTTTTAATGTAATCCAAGTTTACTTCCTTTTGCAATCTTTTAGAGGTTTAACTACACACTTAAATGAACTAATTAGTCACTCAAATGTGTTTTGTAATCATCAAAATCATAGGCACAATAATCTCCCCCTTTTTAATGATGACAAAATACTTTGAGAATGAATTAATGAAAGCACATATAGACTTCAATACTGACAAGAAGTTTCAACACCAAGGCACTCCAAAAAATGACATTAAATCATAAGAATTTAGTATACTTTCTCCCCCTTTTTGTCATCCATCAAAAAGCATATAAGCATAATCAACAAACTCCCCCTTAATTCATGCATATCAACCTTTAAAGCATAATAATAATGTAATTTAAGCATGATATTTACAAATTGCTCCCCCTCAATAAGAGCATACAATCATCACAATCATAGACAACCATTAATACTGATAAAATGCACAAGTCATGCTATTACCATTCACAAAACATGATAAAAGGTTCAAGAAATGTCCATAGACAAAGAAAAACATGGTGATAAGCTTAAAAACTTAAAATGCATAAGCCTAAGATGTCCATCCAAAAGATTAGCCAAACAAAAGAAATATGGAGTTAGGTGGCACTAGGTGGGGGTGGAGGAAAAAAATGGTTAATGAGCTGATCAAGCTTTCCATCCATGGAATCCATCCTCCCTCTCATCTCCGTCCGGAAACCATAGAAGTCGATGTGCAATTGCCGCATCTCATTTATCATAAGTTCCATGGTTTTGCGGTTAGTCCTTTGCATGGAGGCTCGAAAGGGTCTTGGGCTGTCACCTCCATGTTCTTCTTCCTCATGCTCTACCATTTCTTGATCTGCATCACCTTCTTCTTCATCCCCTTGCTATTCCATTTCTTGATCCTCTTTCTTCCTCCAAATACCATTCCGAAGCTTATATTGCATATTCTCAAAGGAGGCCTTATTGAGTGTAGTTCCACCTTGAATCTTTCCAAGTCTATAAGGTGTAAGATCAATATTGTTCCTCTTCACCAATCTAGTAATCAGAGCACCATGAGGAAGGCCCATATTTGATGAGTAATTCTTGATTAGGTTTCGATAAATGAATCTTCTAATGTTCAACCTTTTCCTTTTGAGAAGATAATCAAACCATAAGAGATCACCACCAAATACAATAACTTTAGAACCTTTTCTTTGAGCAAGAATGCGACTAATAATCCACTGCAATGCTCTATTTTCTAGTGTAAGGAGCCCCACATTAATTTGACCTACAGTGCAATTTAGGGCAATTATGGCTCTAACTATAGATGTATTTACATCTTCAAACTTATCATCAAGATTACTTGGTTCAATTTGAGATATAAAGGCAACGAAAGCACAAGTATTATGAGCATGAGATCTAGTAGTTACCTCTTTTGATGGATCCCCAATAATTTCATTACCTTTGACATAAGATCTCTCTCTTGCGAAAGTTGGTTCTTTTAGCTCATGTGTTTGTTGCACTTCTTCATGTTTGTCCCCCTCATTTTTCTCATCTTGAGCTTCCTTAGTGTTGTCATCCTTGAGATTTATATCTTTTATTTTTTCTCCAATGGCATCTGCATCATCATCATCATCATCACAAGACTTTCTAAAACAAATAGGGTTAGTCTCATCAAATACCACATGAATAGATTCCTCAGCAACTTTAGTACGTTTATTATACACACGGTAAGTTTTACTAGAAGTAGAGTATCCAACAAATATGCCTTCATCACTTTTAGAATCAAATTTTTCAAGAGAGTCCTTTCCATTGTTCAAAACAAAGCATCTACAACCAAAAGCTCTAAAGTAAGAAATCTTAGGTTTTCTTCCTTTGTAAATTTCATAGAGGGTTTATTAAGAATAGGCCTCACTATAACTCTATTCAACAAATAACAAGAGGTTGCAATGGCTTCAACCCAAAAGGATTTTGGCAAATCATTGTCACAAATCATAGTTCTTGCCATTTCCTCAATAGTATGATTTCTTCGTTCAACCACCTCATTTTGTTAAGGAGTTCTAGGGGCTGAAAAGTTATGATCAATACCATGTTCAATGCAAAAATCTTCAAAGTCATTTTTGCAAATTCTCCCCCATGATCACTTCTAATAGAAAAAATAGCTAAACCTTTCTCATTTTGAAGCTTTTTATAAAAACATTTGAAAGCATCAACTGCATATTTCTTATGTGCAAGAAAAGCAACCCATGTAAATCTAGAATAGTCATCAACCACAACAAGCACATATGATTTCCCTCCAATGCTTAGAATGCACATAGGTCCAAACAAATCCATATGAAGTAACTCAAGCGGTCTACTTGTAGAGATGTGTTTCTTAGCCTTAAAGGAAACTCTAGTTTGCTTACCCTTCATGCATGCATCACACACATTATCAATATCCACATTCACCTTAGGCAAGCCATCAACAAGATCATGCTTTAATAACTTAGAGATAACACTCATGCTAGCATTTCCTAATCTTCTATGCCACAACCCAATATCATCATGAAATATAGAAGCAAGACAAATATCAGCATCAATGTCATGCAAATCAATCACATACACATTTTTAAGTCTCTTGCCAACAAACAGCACTTGATCATTTCTAGAGTCAATAATCTTGCAATGAGATTTAAAAAAATACAACAGTAAGCATACGATCACACAATTGACTAATACTAAGCAAGTTATGTTTTAATCCATCCACATACCAAACATCATCAAAAGAAATAAATTTGTTACCAATTTTACCAATTCCTTTCACAATTCCTTTCCCATTGCCACCAAAGGTCACGATTCCACCATCCAAGGGCATCAGTGATGAGAATTGTGAAGGATCACTCGTCATGTGCTTTGAGCATCCATTATCTAGATACCATTTGTTCTTCATTTTGCTCACAAGGCACACCTACACAACAAAAATCAATTTTCGATCTTAGGTACCCAAAATTGTTTGGAGCCTTGGGGGTTAGTTCTTATGGTTCCTTTTGGAACCCAAATTTGTTTCACTTTACGTTGAGCTATTAATCTTTTTAAAGGGCAAGCATGAGCAAAGTGTCCCTTTGCACCACAACAATAGCAAGTGACTTTAAGATGATAGGATTGACTTGCTCTTACAAAGAAATTCTTAAGAGTCTTTTGTTTTTTAGAATAATCAAATCCAATGCCCCCTTTGTCATAAATACTTCTTTGAGATTTTAATATAGAATCAAATTTTTCTTTACTTAAGGTAAATTTGTAAATTACATTCTCAAGATCACAAACTTTTCTCTTTAAATCCTCATTTTCCTTCTTTAAATCCTCATTTTCCTTCTTTAAATTCTCATTTTCCTTTTTCAAAGCATTATTAAATTCCTCATTCTTTACAAAAGCAATCTCATAATGTAAAGAGGCATTTTCTTTAACTAAAATCTCATTTTGTTTTGAAAGAGATTCAATCTCATTTTTAAGCAATGAAATAGATTTAGTAAGAGCAAGATTCTCATTCCTTAGTTTCTTAATATCATTAATAGAGCAATCAAGAACTTTGCATAAATCATCATAAGAAGACTCAAAGGAACTTTCATTAATTGAACTAGAAAAGTTAGAGTTTACCTCCTCATCATTGTTGCTATCCTCTTGAGCCATGAAACAAAGATTTGCAACACCTTTCTCCAAGCAGCTTTCACTTTCCATTGAGCTAGTCTCATCATCACTCCAAGTGGCAACAAATGCTTTCTTCTTCATGCTCTTCTTGTCTTTCTTGTCACCCTTCTTCAATTTGGGACATTCATTTCTATAGTGCTCCATCTTGTTGCACTTATAGCATTTCACACTCTTTTTGGTAGATTTTCCTTCATTTCTTTTCGCAAGTTTGCTCTTGATGTTCTTCTTCATGAATCTCCTCACTTCTCTAGAGATCAAGGCAGAGGTGTTTTCTCCATCACTAGCATCATCTTCGCTCTTTTCCTTTTGGTTGCTAGCCTTGAATGCAACATCCTTCTTCTTCTTTTCAACTACTTCAACTCCACCATCAACTTGAACTTCTATCTCATATGTCATCAATTTTCCTATGAGATCTTCAAGCTTGAGAGTGTTGAGATCCTTAGACTCTTCAATTGTGGTCTTCTTGGCTTCCCAATTCTTGAGCAAGCTTTTAAAAACCTTTCTCACCACTACTTTACCAAGAGCCTTGAGATTGGTGACTATATCATTCAATCTTGTATACATGTCTTGAATGCTCTCTTCTGGTTTTATCTTGAAAAGCTCATACTTGTCAATGATTCTATTGATTTTTGACTCCTTCACTTGGCTTGTTCCTTCATGTGTGACCTTTAACATGTCCCACATCTCCTTAGCCGTATCACACCTGGAGACTCTATTGTATTTCGTTGGATTGAGAGCACATTGAAGCATGCTAATTGCTTTGTTGTTGATCATGATCTTTTCCAAAGGCTTCATCATTCCATTCAACTTCTTCCTTTGGCACCTCTCTTTCTCCAACAACTTTCATAGGTACATATGGACCTTTCATAGTCACAATCCATGCCTT